CCTCCAACATCATGGCGTGGGCCATGATAACTCCCCAGATTTCGTGGCGCCTCTTCTTGTTTCAATGCGTCCCTGCCCCCCCCCCTGGGCCGCGCACGTGCCGCCGGCCATGATTTGCGCCCCCCCTGTTGGACGCCCCCCTCTTGGACGCCCCCGAGAACGGGGGCTGAAGAAATGACGATCGGAGGCCAACAAGCATACATCGACACCTAACTCGTGGGGTGCGAACACAGATGTTTCACACGGCGATCCATTAACGATTGGCGCGAGGCCAACGAAACGAACGGCAAAAACATGAGTGGGGCGAGGGAATGGAGGAAGAAGGAGCGAGGTAGAGGACGGGGAGTAAATACGTGGACCACAAGGGGCCAGAGTGGGAAAAGGAGGGAAGGCGGACTTGGAAGGGAGGCCCCAAGAAGGCTCCAAGAGGGCTTCAATAATGCAATTTTCTGGATGTTCCTGGCGCTGCGCTTCGGAACGCTTTCCGGAAGCATCTGGGAGGGACCTTCTTGAGGTTCTCTCGAGCCCTCTTGGAACTATACCAGAGACATTCTCAGACCTTCGCAAGGTCTCGAGAGGAACCCTGGGATGACCCATGAGCGGCTCAAGTGGAGACACGATGAAGACATGCGAGAGGGCTCTCCCTTAACTTCATGTTGACTCCTCTTGGGCCCCCTCTTGGGGCCCTCCTGGGGCCCTTCGAGGCCCCCCTCCCTGGCGCCGTCCCAGAGGGCCCCGAGACGGCCCCGAGAGGGGGTCAGCGGAGCCGCGACAATCCCACGCGAGGGGGCAACTGCGTGAGTTCATTATGGTTCCTCGGGGGCCCCTCTTGGGGCCCTCGAATGTCATCTGGTGAAAATCCAAAATTCGAAGCCCGGGAACCTGGTCGCGTACCGAAATTGGCATGGCTATTTCGCATGCGCCTGTTATCTCCGCGGGGGCCCGTTCAGTGCAAGTGTTGATTGGGGAATCGGTGTTTCATCTTCTCCCGCCCGCGACCGCCCTGTAATTCCCAAGCCCATCTCGGGGATAACCGACGCTACTCGGCCAACCCTCCTGGCACAGAAACTTGAACTTCAAAACTGTGCCATCTCCCCCCCCGGCCCCCTTCAGACAGCGCACGAAAATCGCCCCCCCTCCCCCCCCTCCCGCTGATCCAAGGGGGGCAACCATCCTCCCAATCGGAGAAGGGCTTCGCGCCCCACGAAGATTTCCTAATCCCCCGTCTGCAAGTCATTGTTGCCAAAGAACTGCCTGGGCCGTCGAGTGAACTGGTTGCTCGCGGCAGCATGGGATGCCCATTGGTGAGCTGAGCCTATTTCTTTTTCTCCACCACCAGACCTCCCTTGAAGCCCTCGGGGGCTTGTTGGGGGGCATCTGGGCTTCTTCGGGCCCTTCGGAAAGCTTCGGGAGAGTCCGAAAAAGGCTCGAGAGAAACCCAAGAGGCCCCCTCCCAGATGCTCCGAGGAAGCCTGCCGAAACGTAGTGCCGGGAGCTTCTAGGAGGGGCGTTCTTGAGGATTTCTTGGATCCCTCTTGGGGCCTTCCTGAGGCTTCTTGGATGCCTCCCAGCGCTTCCTCGGGACATTTCGGAAGGAGTCGGGAAAGCTCCGAGAAGGCCCGAGAGAAGCCCAAGAGAGCTCCTCCTAGATTTCTAAGAAGCCTTCCGCGACGCAGTACTGGGAGCATCTGGGAGGGGCCTTCTCGAGGCCTTCTTGAGGTTTTCTTGGAGCCCTCTTGAAGCCCTCTGGGTGCTTCTCGGGCCCTTCAAAGCGCCTCCTCGTGATTTTGGGATGGCTTCAGGAGGGCCACGAGAAGGCTCGAGAGGACCCCGGAAGGATCTTGAAGTTGTCACTTCTGCCAGCGCCCGTGAAAGTGACAACTCCCAGGGACCTCTTGAGACAATCTTGGGGGCCTTCCGAAGGGCATGCTGGCTACTCCCAGGAACGGGATCGTTCACTGGCTTCCGCTACTAGCGCGCCCCTTGGAAGCGCAATCCCATATGTCCACCGCGGGGGCGAGGATTGGGGGAGGTGACGCGACCTGGCGTTGCAAACCTTCGCTTGGTTCGCTCGCGCGCGCGCGAGCGAACCCATGCATTTTTTGTTTAAGCGCGCCACTGGATCACCCTGCAATTGACAAGGGGGGGCGTGCTCGCAGAACCCCCCCCCCCCTCCCCCCCTTAAGCTTAACGGGGGGGGGTCCGAACCCTCCCCTCACCCCCCCCCCCTTGAAGGGAGGGGGGGGGGTCCGGACACCCCCCCCCTCCCCCTCCTTGGCGCTGGAAAGGGAGTGGGGGGGTCGGAACACCCCCCCCCGTCCCCCCCTTTGCGCCGAACAGGGGGCTGGGGAGGGAGCCTCTCCCGCAAGGGGGGGGGGGTTCTGGCCTCGGGATAGTGAGTAGTGAGTACTCATTAGTGAGTAGTGAGTAGCGAGTAGTGAGTAGTGAGTAGTGAGTAATGAGTAATGAGTAGTGGGTACTGAGTAGGGAGTAGTGAGTA